CAGCCACTACACAAGTCCAGTTGTACTGTCTAAAATGGATAACTATATCTATTGAACCAAGCCTATTGTGGAGCTTAAACAGCTGCACATACTCCAGCCTCTAACTTGCACGCGCTATTTTCTTTAAGAAACTGTAAACCGTAGGAAATAAGTTATGCTTAAATATTTGTGTGTTACAAATATACATACAAACAATGATTAGTAAATAAAAAATTAAATATAAACCTGTGTATTGTATAAAAATTGTTTAGTTAATACGGACATTTAAAATGTTTATTAAATAAATATGTTTAATGTACACAAAAATATAGAATGTGAAGTTAATATGGATTTTTTTACTCATGACACCATTGAATATCCATATCAACAGTTTAATTTTTTTAATTAATATGTTTAATGTATCCTAAAAAATTATGTAATTTCAATATTGGACAAGATTGAATATCCATATCAGCAGTTCAAATTTTAAGTTTTGGAATAGTTTAATTATACAAACACTGGACTACAAAAATGTGTGTACAATTATTGAAATATTCATATAATTAAATTAATATGTTTGAGTTGTAATTTTACAAATATTTGTATTATTTGAAATTATAAAAACATTTTTAAAATTCATAAATATTTTTAAGTATATATAAATTTTAAAATAATAATACATGAACAAATTAAAAGTAGGTTATTTCAGTGGTGTTTACAATATTTATAATACATGAATATTTAAACATTATTTTTATTACTAAAGATCATAATTGTATATGGTAAGTCAAGAACAATATTTAAATGTTTTATTTACTTATCATCGTCTGTATGCATATTTTTAACACACAAATATATGAGCATAACCTGCGTTTTACAATTATCTTAAAGAAAATAGCGAGTGCAAAAAAGGTTGCAGTACCTGCAGCCTGTTTAAGGTCCACACACCGCTTGGTTCAATAAATTTTGTTACCCTTTATAGAGAGTACACGTGAATGGTGTAGTAGTTATAACGACTCGTTTAATAATTTTTGGTTGCCTCTTTTATGAGCAGTACCGTGGTCTGTCTTTTGCACAAATAAAAAAAGATGACAGGTTTTCATGCAAAAATTCATTGCAGTGTTTGTCTTTTCTCAAAAAAAATTGTAATACAAGGGTGTTCTTTGGAAAAAATGCATCGCTCACTCAGTGGCTGATGAGTCCATACATACTAATGTGTCTGTGTACATTTGTTGTGACCGTATTTGAACGTTTGGTCAAGTTAGATGACCACAAATCCGTATTTTCAAAGTTCTAGCACTAAACTGAACATCCAACGCAAGTTGTGTGACTCTTGGTGATATTACCTCTTTTATTTATTACCGCCACTATATATAGCTAACTAATGCACTTACTTGTACAGTCGTCCTAATTTGCAGGTTGGTTGGTTATTTCATCGTCGTAATTAATGACTGCCTCAAATGATCAAATCTATCTGCAACCATCTTCAACTATATATCTATGGCTCTTCTTCTTCAGGCTTTCTCCATCTTATGCTAGCTAGCTGTTGCTTAATTTCCATTGTCATATACAACCAAGGCTTCCAAGTTGAGTTGGCCCTTCAAAGGCACCTGTATCTATATGGCACTTCAAAGGTGCGTCTGCCTTGCACCGTGCAAGTGGTGGAACACTTTGAATTAGGGCTCGGTATTGTCATGTAATTTATTTAATAGTAAGTAATCGCTTTGAAGGGAGCCCAACAATTTGATCCTCGTATCTACTAGAGTAGGTTTTATCATGCACTTAATTGTTATCAAAACTCTCTTCTTATTATGTAATAATAATAAATGTGACGAGTTTTCTTGTTTGTTTGTGATCGAGCTAACGCTCAAGCAGAAATTATATTATATAGTGTTTCACAGGTACACAGTAATATAA